CATAAACCGCACAAGCCCGAGAATCTGAGTTCAGGCTCCAGCATCTAGGCAAAAGGCCAGGTGTGGCAGCGCGTGCCTGGAATCCCAGTGCTGAACAGGCAGAGACAGATTGGGCTCCCCTAGCTAGCAAGCCTCGCTGAATCAGTGTGCCCCAGGTCCCGAGGAGAGAGCCTTGTCTCAAAAACCAAGGTGGATGCTCCGAGGAATGACATCCAAGGTTGACCTCTGGCCTTCATGGGTACCTGTGTATAGATCACAGACCCAAAATAGCATCCAAATGATTGAGCCTTCGAGTGATGGGCAGGATGACGTCATAGCCCATTATCGACTGTTTACTCATCTCCATGACATTCGTATGAGCTAGGAATAATAAGAGTGACAGCAGCTACAATTTTATGGAGGACTCTCCCAGTACGTTGTATCTATTAACCTCTATAATCTCCCAGGCAACCATTAAGAAACGTTCTGCTGTCCGCTGTTTGGAACTGCAGAACTAAGCGCTGAGATCAAGTGAGCGTTTGAAGGGCTCGGGGGCAGGCAAGGCAATGAGCATGTGCAGGTCATTGCCCGCGCTGTTTCCATTCTACCAAGTGCTTTTTATCTTCCCTCCTTTCTATAAGGCCTGGAGAACGGAATAGGGGGCGGTGGGTCTCAGGCTGCCCTAGATCTGCGAAAATCTGACAAAGCCATGACCCTCCCAGAGTGACACTGTCTTCGTTCTCAGTTCCTTGGCCTAGAAACCTGCACATCTTGGGGTCGCAGCACCCAAACATTTGCCTGGTGTCTGTCAGGTCGCTTAGATCCAGGATCAGATCTAGCTCTCCTGGGTCTTCCTCCTCTTTGTCCCCCCCCCCACAAGTCACCACAAGCACCTGCCTTAGGCAGTCAGAGCCTGTTCCAGTTTTCTTCTAGAGGCAGGTGGCTACGGCAACCAGAGAAAACAGCCTTGAGTTGAAGCAGCTGGACCGGTCCAACTAGGAAAAAGTGGTGGCCTCTCCTCACTGGAAAAGGGGAGAAGCCTGAGGGTGGCTTTTCAAACAAAAGGCCCAGAGACTGGCGAGACTACTCCAGAAGGACCCAGGAACCATCATCCCCTGGGAAGTCCCCTCAAGCTAGCATTACACTACAGCCCTGGCCACGGTAAAGGAGATGCCTGAACACCAACATCCACGGAAGAGGTCTCCCAGCCAGGCCCGACAGCCCAGGTAACAGGATAGGCTTTACTTCTTTCAGAAGTGCCAGGCTGCCGGCTGGAAGCACTTCCTATTTCAAGAGAGGAAACCAAACCACAAAAGTGAAGGCGTGGGCACCTCTGCTTGGTCCCAGAGGAGTGGAAAAGAGCTAAGTGGCTCCTCCTAACCGTGACAGCAGCAGACCAAGGTGCACATGATTTGGCCTCACCTCAAGTTACTGAAGGTTTAGGAGACAAAAGCAGAACAGAGGAATGTTCTTGCTCCTAAAAGCTCCCTTCTGCTGCAGCCAGACTGCCCAGAGTCCCATGGACACCCACTCACTTCGCACCTCTGTTATCTGTGCTCACGTTGTTCCATCTGCTCCCTTCCGCTGCAGGAACCCACCCACAGGCAACCCACACCACAGCGCCCAGCTTCAGCCTTCCCTGCCTCGTGGAATCCACAGGGACCTCTCCCTTTCTAACCTCCATTAGCAACAACAGCGCTCATGGAGTCCACCACCTCTCCCTGGCTGCCTCTGGCACATCTTCCATGGAGAAAGATTCCTCCGAGGCCTTTCCTGGGAGCAGTGGCTCAACTGTAGCCCACCTCTTCTGTCTAAAGAGTGGCTTGCAGATGCTATCTCATTTTGGCAATAGCTCTTTATTGCCTTGCTTTGCTTCCTCAGCTAGATCAGAGACTTCTATGAGCAGGAAAGAGCAGACTGTAATGTCACTAGAATGTCCAGCATGGTCCTTCATGGGAATACTCCGTTATGTTAACAGATGAGATAGTCTTATCAGGATACGGCAGGAACAGAAGGCTCTGACTGCTCCACTCTGGACCATGCAAGGGAGCATGACAGCAAGGAAAGGAGAATGAGGGGCACAGACCTAGCTTCATGGTTGAAAGATGGAGAGAGAGTACATCGGTGCCTCAGTCTCCCCGCTGGCTCTCTCATGGAACATCTCGGACTCTTATGTGGAATATATAGGAAATTATCAAAGAACCAGCCAAGGTGATATCAACATGAGCCAAAGATGAGCCAAGGATTTGCACTCTTGTCTTGGCAGCAATCAGTGGAACTGCCTTGTTTTCTCCATTTGTGAGACAACCAAAACAAACGAGGAGAGATGCCTAGATCAACACCCGCTATGGAATCTCCCAAGCCTAGCATACAGGGCACACATGTCTTCCTAATGGATAAATTATGAATCTGAGCTGGCAGCTCCCCCCCCCCATTTCCTCGGTTCTTTGATTTGTCTTCTGGCTGCCCCTTCCTTGGGAAACTTTCCAAATCACCTAAGGAAATAGCTTCTCTGGACCATCCAATTCTTTCCCTTCAGCTGTAGTTAACACTGGAAACCATGGCCAAGATGGGAAGAAGCACAGGCCCTCCCTCTGTCAGCTTTAAATAAGAAAGCACTTAAGAAACCCGGTGGGGCAGATTTAAAGAGCTGGAGCGAAGGATGACAGATTTCTTTGTCTTCTGTGGACTTCAGAATCCGAAGGTATTTGCGCATCATGTGGAAAGGGGTACCAGGCCATCTTCTGATGGCAGAGAACAAACTCCAGGAAAAGGTTTTAGGCAATATGCCAAGGCTGGCATGGGAGTACAGAAGTATACCAAGCAACTCACTGATTCACCCCTGCCCCTGAAGGAGCGCACTCTGCAGGGTTTCCGGGGAGGTCCCTGGGCTCTATCTGCTGGAGGATGACTGAGGAAGGTTAGGAGGTTAAAGGTGTGGGGTAAAGAATGGTTCTCTTTCATGGAAAGCACAGCCTCTGTAGGGCCATCTGGCATTTTAGAAGCAGAGGTTCCTTGGCTCCTCTGCCAAAGAGGGGCATATGTCTCCTGGGGGAGGCTCACTCCTCACACACTAGGCAGGAGTCCTCAGGTCGTCTGCAGTGACGGGAACCAGTCAAGTCCGCAAAGGGAAAACTCCAGGTCACTCCTAGGACTTGTAACCAAGACTCCAGGATGCAAACTACTTCTCTTCAGGTAAAATCCAGGCACACCCGCCCCCCGCCCGCCACACACACCCCTTGGTTCACTGCAGATAGCTAGCTGAACAGCTCCTGGACTCAGACCCTTGTCAAGGATATGGGGCAAGTTTCCATAAAGAAACCTGTTGCCCTTTGTCCCCAAGCCTGCAAGCTCTCTCATACCCCATCTGGTTTCCTCAGCCACTCCCTACCTCTCTCTCATGACTTCCCCCAACACCTGCCTCATTCTCAAGGGCTCCGGAGGGGCAGGCAATCCTCTCTCAGGCAAGGCTCTGTATCTGTCCCCTTCCCGTCTCTCCAAAATGGTTTTTATTCAAACAGTGGTCCAACCCAAGCTCCTGGATCTCTTAGGAGCTGGCTTTAGTGCCCTGGAGAAATACGGACACGTTTTGTTCTCTGGCTCCTAGTGACTTGATGAGAGCAAAGCACATCAGGAGACCCCAAGGGCTCAGCGAGAGGGACAGCCAGCACTCAGCCGGTGTCACGCTCAAGCTAAGCGCTTTACACGCACTCGTTCACTTGATCTGTACATCTCAGGAAGGTCTCGTTATTAGACCCATTCAACAGATGAGACACTGGAGCTCAGAAGCGTAAGCCATAGTCAAGGCTACCCCAAAGGGAACTCTCCAGGTAGGCCCTTGGCAATGCTTGCCTCTCTCAACAGACGAGACACTGGAGCTCAGAAGCGTAAGCCATAGTCAAGGCTACCCCAAAGGGAACTCTCCAGGTAGGCCTTGGCAAATGTGGCTCTTCTCCTCTTGACTGCAACTATGTAACAACCCTACTTTCTCTTGGCAAGGAGTGTGTGTGTGTGTGTGTGTGTGTGTGTGTGTGTGTGTGTGCTGGGGGAGGAGTAGGAAGCAGGGGTGGGGTGGGGGGGATCCTTAAGAGGAAGCTGAGAGCTGGAGCCCTCCCTTAAGGCTGGAGGATTCCTACAGGATGACCAGACAGCTGGCAGGTTGTTTCTGCCAGGAGCCATGAGAAGGCTACTCCAGAGCCAACCAAGCCTGGTACCCCCGGAATCAGATGTAGGTGGAATCCTCTCAAGTCAGCCCTCCTGGAAGAGAGGGCCCTCCCTTGCCCATGAAGGAAAGACCACTGAGTCACTCTCAAAACAGTGACCCTCCTGGCCTTGCCAGAGTGTCATCAGGCCTTTGTCCCGGTGTAAGGTATGTCCTGTCTACTTGCTGAGCCTCTGGTCTGCATGGACATTCCCGATCTTCCTTCGCCCTCTTCAAAACTGCCGCTGGCTTTTATTTTTCTTTTCATTTTTCCTCTTGCGCTGTTGTATCTCTGGTACCATACTCCAGGCTTTACCCACACAAACAGCCCTAGAAACTCCGTTCCTTTGACCAATGTCTCCCACTGCCCACTCCCATCCTGACTCCACATCGACTCGCCCAAACTAAGGGTACCTCAGCGACTTCCTGACTAGTCCCCACCCGGATCCCCTTTTCCTCTCCCCTTCATCTGGAGCTGTGGGTATATCACTTCACTGGCTGTAAGTCTCATTGCCCCAGCTCAAGGTACCCTGGCCTACACCCGTCTCTGTCTTACCATGTTGGATGGGAAGGCTCCCCAGTCAGAAGGCTAAACTCCCACCCCTAATTCCTGATTGCAGGCAACATGTTCCCCTCACCTGCAGGAATCGAGGCTCAGGGCCCCAGTCGGGGGACTTCTCACCCCTAGGTGTACTCCCTCTCCCTGGCCTCCCGCGCCACCGTCTCTACCTAGAGGGGCGCACAATCCCTCCCGGGCTGGGGATGAAGAAGCAACCACCAGGAGGTGAGGATGGGGCGTCCCCTGGCCACCGCCCCTTACCGATGGTGGAGATGTGCGAGGAGTGGAACTCGTTGTCGGTGAAGCGGCACAGCAGGCAGGTCTTGCCCACCCCGGAGTCCCCAATCAGCAGCAGCCGGAACAGCACATCGTACTGCTTCGCCATGGCAGGGACTCAAGGGGGCTCGCGGGTTGCGGGCGGCGGCGGGCTCAGCCCCGCTCAGCCTCTGCCATCGCGACCGGAGCCCGCCTCAGGACACCGCGGTGGCGAGAAGGAAGCGGCCCGGCCCCGGCGCTGGCCTCGCCCGCTGGCTGGAGCGGGGAAGCGCGGCTGCGGCGGGAGCGGCGCGGGGAAGCTCGCGCAGGCGGGTGGCGGGCGGGGACAGCCGTGGATACCGCCCCTGCCCCGCCCTCCGCCCGTCCCCTGCGCTGCCGCCGCAGCGGGAGAAGAGGGGGGGGGGGACCCCAGCTGCCGGTCCGGGTCGGGTCCCAGTTCAGATCCTAAGCCCTGGGGTGGGAAACGTTTGCATCTGAGTGGCGGAGTTGGGATTAGCGCTCACCCAACCCACCTCGCCAACCTTGACTTTCCTGTCCCAACACTTCTCGAATCCCACTCCAAGCCTGATTCTTGTCACTCACCTCTCCTAGGCACTGTCCCCTGCAGCCGCCTGGCCCAGCTTATCGGTGGCAGGTCCTCACCTGAGTTCACCCCTGGTTGGAAGGCCTTCATCAGGGTCTGGATTGGAATGTCCTTCCCTCCATCAACACTCCAGTGTGTTGTGGAATTTTCTCTCATGACCATCTGGACTCCCCACAAACACACGCCATTCCTCCTCCCCTATTTCTATCTTAAACCGGGACAAACATCCCCTGACCCCGTTCTGTACATCAGGTAGACAGATGAATTTATCATTTTTAAAAACCCTAATGCAACATTATATAGAGGAGGTTCCTGCAAAAGTCTTCTTTGGGTCTAAGTTGCTAGGATGAATCTCAGATTACTGAATATTTCTGTACACAAATGGTACCCAAGAATAAAGGGTCCTCTCTGGAGACCCAGTTTACTACTGACAGATGTGTTAGCCCCGAGAGGAAAATCATTCCTTTCTGGAGTTCAGAAAATTGCCTGATCTTAAGAACTAGTATTAGGGGAAAGCAAGTCTAGTCTACTTGATCTTTTAAAAGCAACAACTATTTGTGTAAGTGTGTGTGTGTGTGTGTTTCAGGCTGAATATTGGAAGGAAAACGGATCTCTCTGTAGTAGATCAGAGAAAATGGTAAGTCTATTGTCTTCAAATGAACTATATTTCAAGTAAAGTGTCTAAATGCATATTTAAGACGGGGAAACCCTAAGCCCAAACGCTGCTTTGATCTTAAGGAACAGATCCTAGAGTAGCCATTAAGACTCACAGGTGTGGGCTTAGAGCGCTGGCTCAGTGGTTGGGAACACTGGCTGCTCTTCCAGAGGTTCAGTGCTTAGTACAGCATACAGCACCCACGCGACTGCTCACAGGCCTCTTAACTCGAGTCCCAGGGGATCCGACGCCCTCTTCTAGTCTCGGCAGGCACCAGGCAGGCATGTGATGCACAGATAGGCATGCAGGTAAAACACCCACACACAAAATAAAATTTAAAAATAAAGAAATGTCATAATTAAAAGATTCGCAGGTACATCTCTCGTCTTCGTGTTCTTGTTGGGTTTTAAGGGTGCTCTGGGGGCTGTGGGGCTCTGCTCAGCGGCTTTGGGACTCTGATTCTCACTTCCGTCATCTCAAAATAAGGATATTCAGGGCAACAACCTTGTAGGAGTGTTAAGAATAAGATGGCACATAGAAAGAACTCTGTTTAGCATAATCCTGAGGTAGAGGACACACCATTCTGTTTCCCTGGGCTATATAGGATTATTCCCTCAAATGATGATCAGGTTATCGTCACTGAACAGAGTAGGCCTTTGCTGTGATTCCCCCCCCCCCCCCACACACACACACACTCACCAATGCAAAGGGCACTGTCTCTGCTTCCCCGCTGCTCCCTGGAAACGCTGGTCTCTCTTTGGGACGGGCTTCTCTTCTGCTCTCTCAGGAAGCAGGATGGCATTCCAGATGACGCAGATCTCCTAGTCCAAAGGGGAACTTGATTTTTTAAAGAAATTGTGTTCTCTAGGCAAGATAGGAAACTGAATAGAGTCTTCTGAACGACTCTGCCGGGATTGGGGATTCCTAAAAAAAGAAAAAGAAATGAGACTGTTTCATCATAGCCTGCTGATTTCAAATTCAGTAGCGTACACTGCTGGTTTGTTTGTGTGAATGCACCTGGGGGCGGTGCTGGCGAGATATGACTTGGTTGGTAATTAAAGCTGTCTGTTCTGTCAGAGGACTAGACTTTGGTTCTCAGGACCCACACCGGATGGCTCACAACTGCCTATAACTCCAGCTCCTGAGGACCTGAGGCTCTCGTCTGTTCTCTAAGCACACACACACACACACACACACACACACACGGGGGGGGGGGGCTCATGCACACACATCTCGATTAACAAATCTTTAAAAATGAACAGAATTAGCAGTAGTGACGCACATGGATAAACAAATGTCAAAAGAATGAGGCAGGAGGATTTCAGGATTAAGGTCACCCTGGGCTATATGTTTACTGGGCACAGTGGCACCTGTTTATAACCTCAGCACTTGGGAGGTAGAGTCTGAAAGATCACTGTGACTTCAAGGCCAGCCTAACTGACGTGTCAACTTCTAGCCAAAATGATATAGTGAAATCCCTAATAAATAAATAAACAAGCAAGCAAACAAACAATAATTTTAAAAGGGCTAGAGAGATGGCTAAGTGGGGAATGGGGGGGGGGGGGCGGGGAGGAAGTGGGGAAGGTATTTGCCACCAAGCCTAATAGCCTGAGTTCAATGCCTGGATACCACAAGGTGGAAGGAGAAAACTGACTTGAATACCTTGTTCTCTGACCTACACACACACACACACACACACACACACACACACTAGAAGGAGGAGGGAGGAGGAGAAGGAAGAAGAGGAAAGGAAAGAAGAAGGAGTAGGAGGAGAAAGTTCTGGGGCATGGTTGTATAACCCCAGCTACTGGAAAGAATAAGAGAGGCTTGTTTTGAGTTCAAGGTCAGCTTGGGATGCATTGTGAGACCCTTTCTCAAAAAAGACAAAACTAGAGAGGTGAGTGACCTGGCCTAGGCCAGACAGCTGTATGTGTGCAGAGGGTCCCACAGGTGTGAGCCTGTACCAGTGTGTTTGTAAGGGAAGAGCATGATCCCCCAGGGCCGCACAGCAGTCCCAGCCCAAGATTCCCACCCCTGCATCAGAGCTGTGAGTATCGTGGGATGGAGGTGCTGCGATGTTGAGACAATGTTAGCAAAAGGATTAGGTAGGTCAGCGGAGGCAACAAAGTTGACTTTAACCGTCGGGCAACCCAGGCACACTGTGGGATATTTTGGCATCCTCCCCAGTTGTGCTCTGCGTGGACTGAGGAAGTTTCAGGGTAGCTGAGAGACATCAAAAGAATGATTGCTGAAATGATTGCTGATCCCACAAGCCTTCTAGAATCAGTCACTCAATTATACTGATTCATTTGCCAGGAAGGCAATCTCCGGGCTCACCCCCACCCCACACCAGCCACACTGAGCATGCTCCCAAGGGTATCACTGTGGGATCTGCCATAGCAACAGCCGAATAGCTGGAGTGATGCTCGGTGGGCAGCCCACCCACCACTGAGACAACACAGCTGGTCCACAGGCTCTTCATTAGCTTTGTTCTCAGTGTCTCTTTCGGATGCCTCCTCGTGTGTCCAAGCCTGCGTGACAGCGAGGGAAATGCCCACCTTTCAGTATTCTAGCTCAGAAATAGAAAAAATATGACAGCTAACCCCCCCCCCCCCGTGCACTCACACAGCCCTCACATCAGCACCGCCCTCCCTCTCCTGCTTTCTCTTTTCTTTAGGTGGGGGTCCTGTAGCTCCGGCTGCACTAGAACATGCAGAGTATGTAGTGACCTAAGCTGGCTCAGAGCCGTCTTCCTGCCTCACACTCCCCGTGTTGGAATTAGAGGTCTGATCCTGCAATGGGAAAAGGTGATCCTGAAATAGAAGAAGGTAAGTTCTTAGACATGCAGGTGTCTTAGGGCAGGGAAACAAAGGGAATAATTGTGGTGGTGGTTTGTGTTGATACAAAATGGCATGTCCAGTTGTCCTCAGTTTCCCAGCCACCACTCTTAGTCTGCTGTGACAAAGTGCTGCAAACCGAGTGGTTTAAAGAGAAGGCGTTTGTTTTCCCACAATTCTGGAGGTGAGAAGTTAGACTGAGGTGTTCACAAGGTTGGTCCTTCTGTGGCCTCTGTCTCTCTCTGCCTGTAGATGGCATCTTCCTAAGCAGAGAGTCTTTCTTCTGTGTCTAATTCGTGATCTCTTCTTCATATAAAAACATGAACCAGGGGGCTGGAGAGATGGCTTAGTGGGTGGAGACATTTTTTGTGCTAGCCTGATAACCCAAGTTAAGTCCCAGAATCCACACAAAGGTGGCAGAAGAGAACCAGCTCCACATAGGTTTCCTCTGACTCCTACACATGTGAACAGGCACATGTATACACACACACACAAACACACATATGCACACACATTCTAAAAATATATTAATTAAAATACACCATCTATATTGGATTGTCCTCATTATCCTTTTCCTCCCCTGAATTGGAGTCTATATTGCCTTGGTTGGCCTGGAGCTCACCACGTAGACTAGGCTGGCTTCAAACTCACAGAGATCTGCCTTCCTCTACCTTCAAGAGCTTGGATTAAAGATGCCAAGCTTTAGTTACCCTTTAAAAAGTCTGTATCTCTAAAAATTATAAACAAAGAAACCATAAACAAAGTTAAACAAAGCACCGATTTTGTTTTCTCTTCATCTTGTTTTGCAGTGTTGGGGATCAAAGCCAAGTACTAGGAAACTAGACAGAGCCCCAGAGGGCTTTATTTAGGTGCAGATTATATTTGCAAGTCTAGAAACACAGGCTTAGCAAGGCAGAACCAGTGCCCCCAGAGGGAGAGTAAACCTGGGCTCTTTTTTTGTCAAGTCTAACAGTGGACCCCAAGATAACCTAGAGTTGGCATAAAATGCGTAAGTATATCAGAATGCCCAGGTCACGTGGCATTCAAACTGGTCATGCTGGTGTTCTCAAATCTATCAAGATTGTTAGATTCCGGAAAATCATTCCTTCTAGCAGATTTGGTTTCTCATGTGATAGAGTAAGGAATTCTTCTTCCTGTAAGGACATCTCTAAGGATTTCTTTTTTTTTTTCTTTTTTTAAAATAATTTATTTAACTTTATTTTATGTGGATTGGTGTGAAGGTATCAGATCCCCAGAAATTGGAGTTGCAGACAG